TTTCCAAACCACTGGCGGTCAGAGTGTTAATTAATTTTTGTAATGTAATTTTTTGGAAATTTCAAACCATATTTAATGTAGGCAGACCATCCACATATTTGTCACCCTCTACATGTAACAATACAAATTACAGAAAACATCTCTATTTATATTATCAATAGAAAATTATTAAAGAAAGTATTAGCTATAAACAATGTAACATTAGTAGGCATATGGAATTAATTGATAAAACATGAATGCATATTTTTCTGAAATCTTATATAATTAAGTTTGAATAGAAAACAGTATGTATTAAGAAGGCTTTTCATACATAATTAATACAGTATAGTGTATTATATGTACTATATACATTCCAAATCAAGCATTGGTGACTAAAACAAGAAAATTTACTATATTCGTATTCTCCACATTTTAAGTTTTAAAATGATAGGTCATTATTGGAATCAACTTACTATTGCCAAAGTTATTATATGTGTAAAGTATTACATCTTTTCTGTACTAATATAAATATAATATAAAAAATTTTTTTATATTATTATTATTTTTTTACTATTATTATTATTATTTTATTTTATTTATTTTTTTTTATAAAAAGTTGTATTACAATAAATAGGAACATGCATGTTGTGAACAATTTGAGACCAAAATCAAGTCTCTCTGACCAGTGGTTATCGAGATACAAGCGTCCAAATCAACAGGCGGCCATTTTGAAAATCGCCCCCAAACAGGCCTTCCCCCCATATCTGGGAGGTATATAGGAGCTATATTTTATCTAAATTGGTCCATCTTGCCAAATCCATCGAGAAAAAAAGGTATCCTAAAATTAGTCACGGATCTCATGAAAATGACTCTACTATAAAGTATACAATACTGTACTGCCAAATACTTTAAATGTTAATTGCTCAGTTTAACATTTAACGAGAGTACGCTACTTTTGGGATGGCAAGGCCTCATATGAATACAGAATTGCAGTAAAAGATTATTCCAGAAGAATAAAGTACACAATGACATTTGGTTGTGTTTTGCTTGCAAACATCCATGTATTATTAACATGTTTTTTAATGGAGATTCCTCAAACAGTTAAAACCAATTTCCTTGTAGTCGTCTCCGGCATGCGTTAGCTTTTATTCAATCTCCTGCATCTAATGATATTAAATTGACATTAATTCCATTGTTCCATTGTCGTGTCCTCTGGTACATTGACTAACTTGAAGATTGCAGCTTATAGTACAATTTTAAAATGCCAATTTTTATAACTTATGATTCAAAGGTAAACTTACGATATATGATAAAAAGATTATTTATTTTCAGAGCTTTTCCAAAATAAAACGGGAAAATACAATACCGGTACATAAGTTATAGAAATGAGTTAAACTTGCCGGTTTACCACAGAATTGGCAACATCGGCGATCGCCCAAAAATGTCAGGTGGGGTCATTGGAGGATCGTCGATGCCACCTCCACCCAGGCCTAGGATCAGAAATCGCAGGCCTAGCATGTGTACAACCAATTGGGGATGTGACATAAATTTATTTCTGGTCGCCTCGAAAGTCGTAGCGAACGTAGTTTGGCCGTTTTTTTATCTAATACAGTCTCACTTACGACCCAGCATCTCAACCGCTCGAGATCGATGGAGACATGTGAACGTGACTATAATATTTTCTTTGACAAAAAAACTGTTGTATGTCCATATTTATTCTTGATTCTATGGCCATGATGTGATGTCATCATCATGACCGTATTTAGGCATGTGATGTGTTTTTGTCAAATAAAATAAATAGTCTAGACAGGACTTAAGGCCAAATAGAAAATTGTTGCGTTGCCTAAGCCTAGAGAAATATAAATATGGATCGTTCGATTGGGAATGGTTTTTTTCACCACTCTAGGCCTACAGTATGCTTAATTGTCGGATTTATGGCTGATTAGCTCTCTCTCCATGCATTTTGGCTGGTATTGTAACCAGGCTCGCATGCATAGTTAATCATTCACTTACTCTAAGTATTATGCTTTGGAATAGCATTTCCGAACAACAGAACTACTTTATCACCTCATCAATGTAATTATTTATCGCATGAGAAGAGTTATAATGAGCTGTCTTTATTAACTGGTAAAGTGAGACTAATTGTAAATTTTTTGATAAAATCTTAGAATAAATCTTTAGAGATGCCAATTATGTAAAGCCAAAAAAAAATAAATAAATAAATAAATTGTACGTTCCCTGCCTGTCTTTTAGCTTTGCGTCAATCTTTTAAGTTTCGATATCTTTTATTTATAAATTGCTTTATGCTTAAAAATAGATTTGTAGTTTAGAATATTTTGGGTTTTATTTTTCACTATTAAAGGACAGAGAAACAAGCAATTTTAGCAAAACATTGCGAATGAGTCCTGTGAAGTTGGTGGGCGTAAGAAATAATAAACAACAATACTTGTCATTAAACAAAGTGATTTAAGAGGAGTTTATAGAGCAAAGAACATGCAAGTGAATGACACTTTGTGTTATTTTAGACCTAGCCTTCCATTGAACTGGTGTTTTAAATTGTGTGCTTTTGTACTAATTTCAGACATGCATTGATGTATTTTCACCACACATTCATATTATTAGTCTAGGACAAATTTTTTTAGATTAATCACTCACCATAATGTCGTACTTTGGCCTACTTCAAGAGATACTGTATGTTTTTGGAAGGATTTATTTTTTAGGAGTACTCAAATTTGGAATCTTGGGGGTGGGGAATAGATAGGTAATTTGTCTCATCATTCTATTTTTGGTTTTTCTGTCTGGTTATTTGTGTGGTTTTAATGTTTTATACCAGGTACTGGTCCAGCTGGGACAATACATTTTACTGAAGAGGTAACCCAGTATAAAGAACAAATAAATAATAATAAATTTTACAGCCATTTTTCTCAGAATGATGTTTCATTACATGACGATGTAAATTTGCTCATAACTGTGGTTGTGTTCAAAATTTCTACAGTACTACCACAGTTTGCTATGCTCCTAGTCTTAAAAAATACTATAAAATGCAATTATATTTTTTCATATACATCTGCTTGAAAATCACAGTTACTATATTGAACTGCCTTTCTTATGTCGGGCGACCTTTGGCTTGTTTATGTATTTGATCTGGTTTGGCCTAGAAGATAAAGTTTTATGTTAGTATTATCTGTAGCAAGTAAATAATTCCTTTTTGTAAGCTGATATGGCTAGCAGTGATCAAGATGATGATGTCATAAAGATAATGTCATTCATTGGCCTGGTATAGAGGGTGGGGCTTAATTATGAAATACAATAAAACATGTCTGTTCAGCTGGCCTGTTCAAATAATGATTTTATAGTTGGTTTATGTATTATTATTTATAAATATTATCTTACTGAAACATATTAAATAAAATATGTAATCTATAACATATTTAACAGCTTATGTATTATTATTTATAAATATTATCTTACTGAAACATATTAAATAAAATATGTAATCTATAACATATTTAACAGCTTGACTGTTTAACAGTCAAGCTAATAATACTTATCAACTTATTTACGGTTATTACGTATTAACGTAATCATCATGGCCTTTATTGTAAATAGTTATCGTCATCATCATTATCCTCATTAAACTTTTCAACATTGTCAACATAGTAAATAATTCTTCTAGATATTTCATCTAAATTATAATCCCAATTGATAAAAAAACCATTAGTCTCCAATGCTAGATTGCTTGAGAAAACTAATGTGTGAAGTATTATTACCAATTAATACTGGTGCCAATCAACATCGGTGCCAGTCAAAACCAGTACCAACCACTATGTCAATCTATAGTCCCAGAACATCAGATCATTGAAGCAATGGCCATGATTAGAAAATTATGAACATTGACCAGGAAATTGGAATTGGTTGAATGATGTTGATAGTGCTTAAAGCCTGAGTACTGGACCAATCGCGTGTAACTGACCAACAATAGCCATACCTTCAACATCCGTGTGGTCTTTTGACTGATGGTTTGTTCTCCCTGAATGATTTTGCAAAGTGCATTCTGCAGCCATTGAGTTTGTGATCGCAAGCATGATTGATAACAAAGTATTAATATATTAGCATCGGTTTAATTTGCATAATGATTGGGATTATTAACGTTGGAAATTTATTTATCTGAGAGTTTATTCCATGGCATTATTTTAACATTGGGGTCTCTGCCATTGTATTTGAGATGGTTAATTAGAGTACAGAAATTTGGGATTCTGCATAGGTTACAAATTTTGTCATTTTCAACAGCCTCTTGAAAGGTAATCCAGTGGTTATAGTTGGTAACTAGGAAGGTTGTGCTGGACCTCTGGGTCCTACGGCAGCTGCATTGTCGTGTCATCCCTAGGAGAAGTTGATTCGTGAATTAAGATAAAATATGAGCCGTAATGTACACATGACCAATGGCTTAAACATCTCTTCCGAAATACGGTGGGTTATAAGTTATATTTTTCAATGAGAACCAGCTTGGAATAGAACCAGCAACACTGATCTATAGTTCGGTGCACACACAGTAGGTGCCACCAATTTAGGTTAGGTCATTTTGGTGTTCCTAAAGGTCATATCTTAAACTACTATAGCAAACAATGAGCGTCTCCAAGTGCGACCCACTGCAATTCTTGACTTGATCATAATGTGAATTAGAGAACCTAGTGCGTGCACTGAGATTGAGTGAAGTATACATACACTATTTTGAACAACCATTACTTCCTCTTTCCCAACTACAGTTAGCACACTGCATTCAACACCAAATATAACCATATGATCACTTCTAGTAGTTTGGGGTCATAGATTTTGTCGATTGTGACTACTTTTCTCAGGATCAAAATATCCACCCCAAATTTGTAATAAATTTTCTGAGATATTGGAGAAATATTTAAAGAAGAGCAAATAGCTTGGATATTCTAAGGTTTAACTTGGTAGGGTACAGGAACATTTAAAGGTTGGTCTTTATCTAATGTATTGTTCTTTTATTTTTTCAGATCCACGGAAAATCGTTTTGAGCATCCGGGTTCAACGTACGATAGGAATTTTGATCGTGAAAGGATTTATAACAATAATAGGACTGGTCAATTGAACATTGTTGAGGATGATACGGACTCTACAACGAGTAGTTCTTTTCGTAACCGACGGACTTACAATAACTTTTACTCACATTCCAGAACTGACGGGAATTACGAAGGGAATTATTATAGTGGAAACCGGGAACAATACGGACCAGGCTACGGCCGGTCAGATCGTTCTGAAAACTATGATAGTAACAGGAAAAGTAAAAACTCAAGTAAAATACGGACCAATAAGAGCAAGAGTGGGTCATCTCACTCGGGTTCAGTTTCTAGATCACAGAGTTTTAGTCCGTCACGGAGCCGGTCACGGAGCCGGAGCAATAGTTCAGACTCAAGGAGTAGTACTAGTGACAATCGATCACGGAGATCAAAAAGCAGTGACAAAGGTAGTTTAAATACGGACCATACAAGTAGTTCAGGAGTTAATAAACAATTCGGATTATGCGTTAAGAATTTACCAACAAGATCTACAGGTTTGTATTTTAACTTTATACTGTACTTCAAAGCCAAAGTTGAAGATAACCAATGGAATAGGTTTTTGAATTTGAAGCATTCGAAAATTAAGTTGTTTGTACAGTATTTGGTTATGCCAATTATTTATGTCTGATAATTTGCATAGTTTCTTCCATTATAATTTTTAGTTGGAAGCTATATTGAATACTGTACAAATTACGTAGTTCATTTTTGTTTAATATTTGTGACCAGATCTGGCAAAACCTACTATTGCTCACAATTTCAAATTTCCCACAAGTGCCCAAAACGTTTTGGGAATCAGAATTTTGAACATTTTCATGGTTGTGGAATTTATACAAAAAGGTATATTGGAAAAAATGTCTCCAAAATGTCAATCACTAAATCCAACTGAAAAGTATATATTAAAAGTATTTTAAAAATATAAATCTTAATAATAAAATTATTGATTTTGGAATCTTTGAAAGCTATTTTCTCAAAAGCTACATGGCTAATCCAGTGAATTAAATATTCATAATCTTCGCTATACTTAACAATTTTCTATCAAATAACCATTGTTTCAAAGAACTCTTGAGCTCTCAATTTTGAATTTTTCCTAAAATTGCTGGTTTTGCCAGAGCCAGTCCCATTTTATGTAGGTTAGTTGGCAGTATATATTTTATGAGCCTTTGCAAATAACATTTTCTTTTTCAGAATTAACTTTAAATGTTGACAAAATACTATATGCGGGCCCAAAATTGTAGACTGGCATTCTTTCCTGTTTGCCAGTGAATCGTGATGGATATTTTGTAAAGTAATGTCGTGTTTGACCTCATCACTTGACCTGTTTAGGCAAAAAGAAAGTGTTGTTATTGTCGTATTTCCTCAGTGGTTGCGAGAGTGAATCATATGACAGAGGGGTTGGGTGAAGATTATTGGCAAAGAATATTTCATAAACGTACAGTAACATACTGTAACATTAACATGTTAGGCCTTTTAAAACATAAAATGTTTGAGACAATCTTTTTTTTTTTCTGGGTGGTGTAATTTGCAAGAAGTGATGAAAATATGTATGATGATAGTTGAACGTACATCATTGTTATCAATACCACCTTTGTTGCAATCTTTGGCACTTTCCTCATCCATGACCTAATTACCAGGGTACATTCTTGTCATCTTCATCATTACTATTCAGTAAACATAATCACAATTTTTAGGGATTATTTTATTCAATAATTTAGTTCATTATTATTTTTTTGATGACATTGCTATTAATAATATTGTCAATATTCCAATAAGCTTACCCTTATTCATGAGCGGTGCTTATTATAGATTATTGTGAGTGCTACGGTATCATGTATTGTACATACCTGTAGACCAATAACTTGTTGCAACAAGAAGGTATTATTTAATCTCTGAGAAATCAGTTAGGTATTTATACAAAATATGAAGAATGTTAGAAAGAAATGTGCTCTTGATGTGAAATTTATATAAAATAGAATTTAACTCTAATGAAAGTTGTGGCACTTAATTTGAAAGTGGCGCTTAGCTAAAAAGAAAAATCATGTGTGGTGCGGCATTTATTCTTGAAAGAGCATTGCTTATTCCAGAGAGGGGCTTAATGGAACATTTACGGTAATTGTAATTTTGGTTTTCATTTACGATAACAATGAATTGTGATTGATAAGGCCGCACGATGTGAACTATAAAAACCATATTTCACATCTTGAAATAATGTAGTGCTATTAAGTTCAACTTAATACCAGGTCAAATATGCTTACCGTAGTTAACAAATTATTTGAGAAGTATTTGGTGTTAGAATTATACGATTCAAAATGTTTCTTATCTAATAGAGAAAATAGAAGAAAACTGTAATTTTAAATGTATCAGTTTTGGGGTTAATTCCGGAATTAAGTTAACTATCAATTCAAAAAGGAGGTCAGTTGTACAATTTTCATTTTAAACTTTGAATTTGGGAAATATTCATATCAATTAATTTTAATTTCACTTCAAATTCCATTAAATGTTTTGCATAATCTCATATCGACGGACCCACAACATAAACCTTTATTAATTTTTTTTGTCCATGTTAATTTGACATGACAATGCAACAAATGATTTGTTTCACCTTTTCAAACAAATTTTATTAAAGATTATTAGAAGACTAGATTGGATAATGTTGGGCAAACTTACTGTAAGACCTTAAGATATCTTATTTTATGTTTGAAACTGTTTTAATTACCATACAGTACATTCAAATAAGACAAAGTCATTGACTAATTATCATCTTTACAAGTACTGTAGTAGGCAATGGAAAACAGAATTTTTGTAAATTGTTATTCTTCAGAAAAAAATATTTTTTTAACTATCTTCAGTATTGTTTATGAAACTGACTGAAAGTACATTTTATTTGACTTGGTATAACCTACTGTATTCTTGAAATCAATAGTATTTTTTACTACCAGTATGTTACAAAGTGAAGCAAGGCATAGATTAAGCAAAAAAAAAGATTATTTACATGAGTGTTTTTTTTTTGACTGCTGGTGCTGTTTAAATACAGGAAAACTGGTGAGGCAGGCTACAGAGTGGGAAAATTCTGGCTCGTAATAAGTGTATAGCATTGATAGACCAACTTTCATACTGTTGGAAGTGGGGATATAGCTGACTTATTGGTTTGAATTGCCTATCTATTCTAAAAGCCTTATTGTAGAAAATTAATTAGAACTATTTTTATTGCTGCATTAGTGTGAACATTTCATATTTAAATGAATTTTTTTTTTTTTTTAATTCTTTTTTTTAAATCTAAATTTTAATTTTTAAGTAATTTTATTTTTTAATTATATCATGATCAAATTTTAGAGTGATCATGTTACTTAGTTTTTTAAAAACATTTTGTTAAAATATTTATTTCAATATATATAGTCTATAGTGTAGTGTAAAATAAAGAAAATAATTACATTTTATTTCAAAACAAACACAAAGGACTTGCAGTGCTTAAATGTAATTTGTGGCCATTTTCCACTTAAGATGTAAGTTTACATTTAAGGGTTGTGAACAACAGACTTCATCAAAGCCAACTTTTTAGTAGGTTTGCATTGTGTTATTTGGCATCTACTTTCAAGTTGTTCACACTAAAAATTTACTGCTTTTACTGGCGAACAGTAGGCATCCCTTTCTATGCTCAAAAACATCAAAATTTTCCAGTGTGAACCAGCCTGAACTAAGATTTCTCTCAAGGAACATGAAGAGATGTATACTAAGAGTAAGAATGCATTGCCTGTGTATAATCACCTATTTTTTACATTGTAATTTTTATAGTTCATTATAGTTGATCATTCTTTTAATTGTTTTACTGTATTTTAATGCGAGAACTGAATTTCCGACTTGGAGCAATAAAGTGTATCTTATCTTATCTTATCTTATCTTAAATGATCAACAATATTCAAAATATTTATTCACTTTTTAAAAATTCATGTTTTATAAAAATACAAAATGTCAGGGATGTAGTTATATATTAACCTCCTTTTCCATCCTTAAAATCCACTCTTATTTTTTAGAGTTTACCAATGTTATCACCCACCCACCCTTCAAATGTCTATTCCCCACTTATAGTTTTCTACAGCTACAATTCTGAAATGTATTGAAATAAATAAGTTGGAAGTGGGGCATATAGCTGACTTATTGGTTTGAATTGCCTATCTATTCTAAAAGCCTTATTGTAGAAAAAAAATTAATTAGAACTGTTTTTATTGCTGCATTAGTGTGAACATTTCATATTTAAATGAATGAAATATCAATTATGTTGTTTTTTATTCTTTTTTTTTAAATCTAAATTTTAATTTTTAAGTAATTTTATTTTTTAATTATCTCATGATCAAATTTTAGAGTGATCACGTTACTTAGTTTTTAAAAAACATTTTGTTAAAATATTTATTTCAAAATAGTGTATAGTGTAGTGTAAAATAAAGAAAATAATTATATTTTATTTCAAAACAAACACAAAGGACTTGCAGTGCTTAAATGTAATTTGTGGCCATTTTCCACTTAAGATGTAAGTTTACATTTAAGGGTTGTGAACAACAGACTTCATCAAAGCCAACTTTTTAGTAGGTTTGCATTGTTATTTGGCATCTACTTTCAAGTTGTTAACACTAAAAATTTACTGCTTTTACTGGCGAACAGTAGGCATCCCTTTCTATGCTCAAAAACATCAAAATTTTCCAGTGTTAACCAGCCTGAACTAAGATTTCTCTCAAGGAACATGAAGAGATGTATACTAAGAGTAAGAATGCATTGCCTGTGTATAATCACCTATTTTTTACATTGTAATTTTTATAGTTCATTATAGTTGATCATTCTTTTAATTGTTTTACTGTATTTTAATGCGAGAACTGAATTTCCGACTTGGAGCAATAAAGTGTATCTTATCTTATCTTATCTTATCTTAAATGATCAACAATATTCAAAATATTTATTCACTTTTTAAAAATTCATGTTTTATAAAAATACAAAATGTCAGGGATGTAGTTATATATTAACCTCCTTTTCCATCCTTAAAATCCACTCTTATTTTTTAGAGTTTACTAATGTTATCACCCACCCACCCTTCAAATGTCTATTCCCCACTTATAGTTTTCTACAGCTACAATTCTGAAATGTATTGAAATAAATAAGTTCAAAGCCATTTGAGCAATCGGGGCCTACATGCCAAAAATGCACAAAGTGCGAACAACAGTGAAGTAAGCCATTGCCCCATCTTGCTCATCTGACTACAAAAGTTGTAGCTTTTTGAATATAGTCAGAACTTTTTAATATACTTGGTTAGTTCAGTATGTACAGTCACGTTCACGTACATTCAGTAAAACTCGTGATTTTTTGTAGAAGAAATTTTGGCATGATTCCAACAAATACTTGCATAAGCTAACTGCCAATCTTTCTTCAGCTTTGAATTTCGGGCCAAATTCTGAGCTCACAGGATTCAGGAAGTGTATCATTAAGTCCAAAATATCTAAAACGTTGATGGTCTCAATCTGAAAGGGTCTTATCTTAATAGCAACTTATTCATAAAGGTGTATCTGCCACAAAAGAAGGATTTCAATCATAATTGCATCCTAGCCAATCAGGGATGATTTAAGGAAATGACTAACTTGTAAATTAGAATCTGTCTCATCCAACTACATGTAGCAGTAGAGGTCAGTGTAGAAAATGACAAATATTCATACCGTAGCATCAGAAATGCCTGTAAACCGCAAACTTTCTCTAGTCTACAGCCTTAGGCTTCTACAAAACGGAAACATTGACTATAATTACAGGATGAGTTTTTTTGTTTTTCTGTCCTCTGTAAACTTTGCTTTCATTTTGTTTAGTAAATATTTAGATGTTGTTATGGTGTGAGTTTTTTTTCTTCCTTTCAACAAGAGACATTTCCCTAATACACACAAAAAAATGTTTTTTCAACTTCTTCATAAGCAACACAATCTTGCATTGTTGTTGCAACATGTCTTAGCTCCAGTGTAATCTAAATGAAATAATAGCATTCTTGAAAAGAATCAAAAGTAGGTCATAGCATTTTATTGAGGTTTCAAACTGGCGCTTATTCAAAGAGAGGTACATATTCCAGAGCGGTTGTAATTACTAATACAGTTGAACTTGCCTCAAATCCAAAATGGCATTGAAAAAATGTTTGACTTGGATAAAATTTGACTTACAGATCATTAATTAATGGAAAACAACAATTTGGCATGTAAAATAAGATCGAATTCGAAATTATTCTAGTTAGGCAAAGTCGACTTAGGCATTTACAGTATAGTAGTTAAGCAATTACATCCTTTAAACTTGTTTTTATAAGAAAAAATTAGGAAGTTGTTCACGAAGTATGTTTGTGCAGAGAAAAGTTGTCCATGAATACAATATGTTTATTTTGTGTGCAAGAATACCACATATAACTCCCCAAGCCGATTACAGTTTACTGTTTCCACAAGTTTGTAAATTTGTGCTAAAAAAAATTAAAAGTTGAAATAGAACTATGTGCAATGTACATGAATGTTTTTCTTTTTTTTAAACAGTTTGACTAATTCTAATTTTTTATTTTTTAGATACAAGTATAAAAGATGGGTTATTTCATGAATTCAAAAAGTTTGGGCAGGTTACAGCAGTCACGGTCCAAGGCAGTGGCGATGATAGGTTCGGGATTGTCTTCTTCAAAAGGTAAATAAGCGAAATACAAAGTATGTCTAATAATTTAGATCAACTTTATCATTTTAACCAAATCTTTATTTATAATATTATTAAATATTCAAAATACTGTAATAATTTCATCTGGTTTGCTTGCTGTAACTGATGAAACATGTTGTTGTTGTTGTTGTTAAAGCTATTGTTATTTTACTTTTAAGTTTTTCTAAATAAAAGAATTAAACAATTTTCATGTTTTGGGTGAATTTTTACTGGAGACTAGCTTTCACCGAGATTAGGTTTCCTTTTGGAGAGTTCTTTCTCATCACCGTTTTCTTTATTAGTTTTATTCAATTGTTATTACTGAATACTGTTTATATTTTATTGAGGAAAATATATAAAATGACATTATTATTTTCTAATGTATTGATATAGATCTGAAGATATGGAAAAAGCAATGCAGACTTCTAAAGGGAAATTGTTCTTTGGATCAGAAATGAGATTAAATGCCTGGGATGGTCCAGGTACGTTGTATTTCAAATGCAATTTCCCCACAAATATTACTGTAATGTTTCTGTATTTTTAAAATGTTTTATGTACTCTTTTGGGGGACAGGAAGGTAGAGGGAAGGGTGGGGATGTGGGAGGTTGGTAAAAAAAAAGTATGCTTCATATTCTCTTAAAGCTTATGAAAGAAATGGATGATTCTGGTTATTAGTTAACTTTACAGCATAGAACTTCAAGCCTTTAAGTTAATATTGTTACCTTGCTGAAATATAAATCTCAATGTGAGAAACATAAATATAAAATGGTTTTATATTCTTTACTGAATGTAGCTTCTTCTTTTCAATTCTTTTGAATTAGTAATTTTTCAGTCAAAACCAGAATTCTGTAACTGTCAATTTTTCACTTTCCAGGTTTCGTTTGACTTTTACTGTTCATAATTTTTTTTTCTCACATAAAATTTGTACAGTATATTATTGTGTATTTAATATTAATGACAAAAGTAAACATGAAGGCAGGAATTTAGTTTAGTGCTCTCTTAGGAAAAAAAAATGAAGGAAATGTTAACCAAATATGGATTAATATTACCATATTTTTATCTGTTGCAGATATTGGAGTAGATGAGAGCGATATTAGATATTATGAGAAAGAAATGGATGAGTACCATCCAAGGGCAACCCGTACACTTTTCATTGGTAACTTAGACCGGACAGTTGCACGCGAGGAACTCGCTGAAGCGTTCCAGAAATTTGGAGATATTCTAGTAAGTGCAGGAGCCTGCAGGACTTATAAATTATTTAAATTGGCAATTTCTATAATAGGCTTGCCCTTCCAAAGCCAGCATACTGTTGCTAAATGTTAAACAGAGTAAGTAGCTAAGAAGAACCATAACTTTGGCAATTTAGTAAACAGATTCCAGTAAATGACACATCATTTTTATTTTAAACGTCATCCAACAGTACAGTAAAGCTACTTAAAGTATTTTAAAGCTTATCTTATAATGTGGAGAATTTGAATGTATTAAAAAGTCAGTTCCCATGTTTTTGTCACTGGATGCTGGTTTTAGCATGGCAAACCTCATGCATTAAGGCAGAAAATTATTGTGAGGCTGCATTCATCCATCCTCCATTGAAAAAATCAACATCCAGAATTTAATCACCTGGCTATTATAATATAATAACAAATGTGACTGTCACTTCAAATATTCAGATTTTTTTTCACCTGTATTTGGCCACCTGTAATGTAACACTTGTACTTCCTTATTCCATAGGATATTGAGATCAAAAAGCCTCACGGAGCACAACCGTTTGCCTTTCTTCAATTCTCCGATATCGATAGTGTTGTAAAAGCGAGGAAGAACATGGATGGCGAGTTCGTTGGTAAAAATAAAGTGAAGGTAGGGAGAATTACTGGAACAACTTTATAATGGAGTGGAGCTGTATCTTGGTTGTTAAGGTGCTCAACTGCCAATCCCAGGATTCTGGGCTCAAATTCTGTGATACCAGGATACTATCTTATGACAACTTAGCTCCCTAAGCCACACTGCCAATCCCAGGATTCTGGGCTCGAATTCTGTGATACCAGGATACTATCTTATGACAACTTAGCTCCCTAAGCCTCATAGATGGACTCGGTTTACACACCATTCCAGAAATTTGGTTTTGAGTCATGTCACCTTTGTGTTAAAAGAGGAAAGCATGTTGCAAACACAGCATGTACTACACTGTAACACAGTACAAACAGGCATTAGGCTCATAATAATCATCGCAATAATATCGTATCATCATTTTTAATCACATTTTTACAAACCTCACTCAGTATAGAATATACCCTAAATATCAACAAGTATAATTGCCATTTTAATCTTACATTAACACAGTTTGCATTGTTGCAATAATTTTAATAACGTACAAGAGCCTACACTGTTGTACTATGGTTAGGTCTCGTGCTCGTTGTTAGCGTAAAGCTCGTTCCTGTTTTTGACATCATGCAAGCACGATTGAATTTCTGGAAAGGTGTAGCATCACTTCCCTCCTATTAGTTATGAGTCACTTGCAGCAGGATGACAATTAGATAAAATAAGAAAGTTTAAGATTAAAAAAATAATATTTAATTTTGTGAAAGTACAGTATTTAGTAATTTTGTAGTAGTGATAATTGGTAGTAGTAATACAAAGCAAGTGTATTGCTAATAATAATGAATAACACACTTAAATAATAAAGTCAACAATATTGTTTGTATTTTAGTCTAATAATAATGTAAATTGTAATGTGCAAATTTCTTATATTGCAATAGCTATATCGATTATTCAAACTTTATTCCATATTTTTCAAATTAAAAAATGAAAATATATTATAAAACAGTACAATTTACTTTACTCTCTGAGAATGGATTCAACTGACTGTTTTCGTGATATTTAAGCTTGGCCTGTTATCTTATCAAACTTCTTTCTAAAGACATATCAATATAGTTAATGTAATAATAGTGTAATAATAAATATTGTTAAGATTTAAATTTGTGATTGATAAATTGTTGAAATGCTAATGTATTTAATTCTTTTGATTGCAGCTTGGGTTTGGAAAGAGCATGGCAACGAATTGTGTTTGGTTAGACAATTTACCTCAGAACACAAGCGAGAATTTTCTTTATAAACTTTTCAACAATCGGTTTGGCTCTGTCTCCCGTGTTACATTTGAGAAGCCCATTCCCAAAGCTCTGGTTCATTTTCACAACATGGACTGTGCGCAGAAAGCTGTTGTGGACGTGAAAAGTGGTCGACTCCACATATCAGGTAGAAAATTAAAGGTATGTTTATAGGTTTGATGTATTGTCTGGATCTGAACACTTATGTCTTGTCTTCAATAAATCACTACGCACAATTGCCAAAAACTTTTGACGATGCTGGTTGTTCGGTCGATTCGAGGAGCCTTCTGATTGTGTCATGGACTTTCTTGTTATTATGTGCTGTCATGTAAGCGGAGTACTGACGTGCACTTTCATGTAACAATTATGTAACCAAATCAGGCGCCTTTATGCAGTTTCTCATTACCACTTCACATTTGATTATAGTTTTGTATATTTTACATGCAGTTAAATGAGAGTATTAATAGCCATTTAAAGTGATTGATAAAATAGTTCATTGAGATAGAATCACCATCATCTTTGCACCTATGCTTCTTTTGTTAAGTTGGCACTCCTTCCCCCCTCCCCCTCTCAATGATCATATTCTACCCCTTATTTTTAGAGGCTAATCAACTTCTCTCTGGATTTATTTAAGTCCTTATTTATTTATGAGTTGATAACACATATAATACATAAATAAAGTAAATAGTGATTACAATATGTAATACAACCACAATTGATTTTAAAAGTTTTTCTACACAATTGTCGATTTTTAGATTGATTACGAATATCTATACTGTTTTATAAGTTGTCAACGATTTTTTCCAGGTTGATTTCGCTAGTCGAGAATGTCAAGAACTATTTTATGACCAAATTCAGCGAAATGGTCCAACTTTCACTGATCGTAGCCGCGAGACATCACCGACCGGCTCCTACTCAAGATTCTTGAACCGGGAAAATTCAAGGTATATCTATTAATAGCAACATATTCCAAGTCATTGCAAGTTAGCATTAAATTGCTAAAGCTCTGTCCACACTATCAAATTTTCTTTGACAAAAACTGTTGTATGCCCATATTTAGTCATGATGTGCCTATATATGGTAATGATGTGATGTCATAACTGTTGTATGCCCATATATAGTCATAATGTGCCTATATATGGTCATGATGTGATGGCATCATGACCATATTTGGGCATGTCACATGTTTTTGTCAAATAAAATTTGATAGTCTTCACAAGGATTTACTTTGGTCAAAAAAATTATAACAAAGAACTTCATTATTAAAAGTCGGTTAATATGAGCTTAAGTTATTGAGATTGACTTTCATCTGAGGAACTCTGTGTTAAGAAATTAAATTATTGGTAATAAATCTCCTCTTCTTCACCTTAGTTTCTTTCGGACAGCTTGGTTAATTTATCTTCAGTAATTTATATGAATTTATATAACTATATAAGGGTGAACAAATCCTTTACCTTCATAAGACATTAATGAACAAGACTTGATTATTTTATTCTTACAGTGAATTTCGTGCAAGTGGCACCTCATCAACAGGTACCACTTTTAGCCAGTATGAGAGTCGGCAAAGAAGCCGGTCCAATAGCTACTTCGGCAGCGGCACAAGAAGCGGGTCTTTTGGAGAGGAAGGCACCCATTTTTCCAGCAATTATACTGGTAGTGGTAATGGCACAGGAGGTTCCACGCCTTACTTTAATAAGCAGGGAAGCTTCCATGATGGTTACAATTCAGGGAGTGGCAGCTATGATCCAGATGACTCATATGAGAAAGAGCTCAGGGATTATGGTCATCACCAACGGGAAAGACATGAGCAACAGTACAGGGATGGCACTCCAAAGAGGTCATCCAAAGACAGGTATGATATTATTCCCTTTACTTGCTATGTGACCCATATTTTTTGGCAGTTTTGATTTGAGCTATGGTTTGCTGGTAATTCCCCCTTCGCACACGCCGTTAGTTTTGCTACCATAGAACACCATTTTTGAATTATTTACAATTGCAACTGTGTTGGTTTATGCTTAATTGTGGTTGATGGGTCCACTACAGCAGAATTGAATGAATGTCATAATATTGTAAAGATGTCTTGCTCATTCATATTCTTGTTCAAAGTGGCCACAACAAATTTTTGCACACCAAGACTTTACTGCTGTGTTAATACAATGATGTTGAGTTGTAAAGTCGTACTCGTGCCTGTAATGATATTTTAGTACAATCTTGCCATTGTGTGACAATGTTCATTTAAATGTAGAATAAAAATTTCTATGGTACATCAATATTTTTCTTCTATCTAAGGAGATAATCAGGCAGGTAATCGGATTATGTATCTTCATACATGTACTCCATAAAAAAGAAACAAAGAAAATAAGTTTTTTACTTTATGAAATATATATATCAAACTAAACTTAATTCTCCATGTTTTTAAGAAATACCTTCTGTTTTTTCACAGATCTTTTGATAGAAGTCGAAAACGAAGAAGTACTAGTGCAGACTCAAGGGATTTCCATTCATCTGATAATAGTTTGCAAGATTATCGTAGCCGCAGTAATTCACCAGAATATTGCGAATCAAAGCGTGCACCCCGGAGTGCTGTATCGGTCCAAAGAAAATCTCGGAGCCGATCACTCTCTCCGATTGGAAGCACAGTCAGTAAAAAGAAATACCAGTCTGATTCTATTGAAGTACGATCTCTTGTTGATTCAGACAGTGACATTTCAAAACGTGGAAAATACAGGAGCACAAAGAAAGATAAAGATTTTGAGGACTCCTTTTTTACTGATAAATTTCGCAAAAAAAGTGGAAATCAATCATCATTGGATTGTAAATACAAAGACTTGAAACCTGAGAAATTACGAACAGGTAGACTAAAAGATGCTATTGAAGAGACAATGAGAGCTAATAAAAGAAAAGAATATGAAGAAAGTCGTTCAAAGCGTGTTTCGGATATGTTGAAAAATGATTCATTAGAAACTAGTTTATTAAACGAGGGTGGCTATGACTCGGACAGATCTCTAAAGAAGGCAGACAGTGAGAGTCAACTGAAACGACGGAAAATTGATTTTGAAAAATCTAGCGAATCTGAAATGCTTAAAAAGGATGATGCACGTGGAAGTCGTATAGGAAATCATTCAGAGAGAAGTCTTGATGACATAACTTTAAAAGACAATGAAAATTCATTAAGGACTAACATTGTTAGCTTAAAAATACCTAAATCAGCAGTTAATCGACCAACTGTTGAGGATCATAACATTCCAGTAAAAGTTAAATCAGCTCTCTATGACAAGAGATTGGTAGCTGAGAAATATCTCAATACTAAACGAGAGGCAATTTTATCAGAAAAACCAAATAAAAAAGAACTTGTGAACAAGTTCATGAGAAGCTTACGGACTGATGCTGTTGAACCAGTTGAAATGGGACTTGAAGATTTTATTATTCTCAAGGATGACAATAATTTTGTGAAACAAAGAACTTTTTGTCTTGAAGAAAAATTAAAACATACTGACAAATATTATAAAACGTCAAAAGAAAGATCTGAAAGTAAATCTCCCCGAGAGAAGCATTCAAAAGCTTCTAAATTTCATTTGGAAGACAAAGTGATGTTGCCACATTTGTTAGAAATGGGTGAGAGCAATGGCAGTGCCAGTGACACTGAAGGTCCTGGTTCTGATGAGGAGCATTTTATAAAAAGAGACTTGAACTCATTTGATCAATCGCGACCATCAACTCGAAAGATTTCCTTGAAATCCAGTAACATTCCAGAGCATAGCAAGCCAGCCATTGACGCTAGTCTCAGTTATCGAAAGCAGATGGAACAGCAACTAAGACAACAACAAAATAAAGATGATGGAAATTTAGAAAACAAACTGTCTAATGCAGATCATACAAACGCTGCCTCTCTCAAGGATGATGACACTGTGAATGATATGGTTTGGAAACTGTTACGTCTTTCACCGGTTGAACACATGAGGAAAAAACCTCGGAGAGTATCAGAAAATGCCTTTTACCAACCAAACGAAGAGAGTTTTCTTAAAAGGAGCTATCGACCTCGTCAAAGCAGCGAAGATGAAGACTCAGAACTGAAAATTGACTCAAAACCTACTGAAATACCAATATCAGTAAAAGTGGATAACCTTAAACCAGATAATGGCAGACCCACTGATCCAAGATTAGAACCCCGAGAACAAAGGCTGCCAGTTAGAAGAGAAATACAAATGACTCCAAAAGGAACTACTATACCACTGAGTGTAACGGTTCCTGAAATCGAGTCACCAACAGCACTGACACCAATTAGTCCTATTGCAGACCATAATTCCGAAACAGTATTGGCTGAGAAAGCTGACAGGTCAGGAATTGAGACTGCTGGTCATGTTATGACACAAATGAAATCTTCAGAGGCAGACTCCGATATTTCAAATGAAATAAATTATGATAAAGGAATTAATGAGAATCACATGGGAAATTTACAAGGACGTGTTACACCTGTACATGATGAACCTCTCATACTACCTGGAATACCTTCACCTGATGTGCAGAGGGATCAAGTAAGGCGCCCTCATCAATTTGGGACAGACTTCCACCGTAATGCAGGTCATCCAACCCATAAGGAGAACATAGGTTCTACGTTGTCCACCAGTAGCTTGACCAAGTCTCTTCATTCAACCCATGCTAAGTTTGGCTTCTCAAGAATTCCTGATGTTCAGGACAAAACAATAGACAATGCATTCCTGCAGCCAACATCCTTTGAAGCCAAGCTTAGCACTTTTACCTTACGAAATCCTCTTAGAACTTCTGTATCATCATTATCTAGTGAGAACAAAACGGAACCACTATCAACAAGAATGATGGTAGAGAAGGGTATGTATAGGATTAGAAAAAGAACAACTGTCCCTTTAACTGAAGTTTCAACTTCTGTAGCTACAACTCTGACAAGTAATATGACTACTAGTGCTGTGACTGTAACAAGTGTTCCACCTTTGGAAATAACAAAGACATCTGCAGTAGAGACAAAAGGAAAAGAAGAAGGGGAAGCTAGAGGACGCAGAATTAGTATATTTGATCAAGATTCTGCGCGACTTGCTCATAGCGCTCAAAGATTCAAACCTGGTTTACATTTAGGAGATAAATCACCAGTGTTCTATCCAACACCTACTCATGATCCTTTAAGACGAAATTATCCTCAGAACTTACCATTGAATTCAAATTCAAAAGGAATTTTACCTCAAACTTCATCTAACTTATCTCCATCTGTTTTTCCACCTCTACGACGTGATTCTTTACCAAACAACCTGCATGATCCACGATCTATGAAAGAAACTGTTAACAGTCACAGCATCATTCAACTAAAAGAGAAGCCAGTAATTTTATCAGAATCTCGAACTGAAGACAATAATCTTGATATAATATCAGGCAAACCAGTTGCTCCATATACACCAGTAAAGTTACATACAGTTGAGGACAGGCCACAACTGAAGGATCACAGAGATTTTGTAAGAATATCTGCTGCCATTCCAAATCAGAAATCTGAAACAGCTGAACCAACCCAATCAGCAACATCAATTGATTCTGCTTTAATAAAGAAAGAAGCTGAAGTTCCACAAATTAAACAGGAACCTGCTCCTGTTGATGACCTCAGTAAGAATGCTCCCATTGAAATAATGGCATCAGTCAAAGAGGAAATAAAGAGAGAAGTTACTTCTTCTGGTACCACATGTCCCACCTTACCTAAGAAAGAGGAGAATGACCTTCTGCCATCTCCTAAGGAAATTAAACCAGACACAACCATGGCCAAGTTACCAAATGAAAGTGCTCAATCACCTCCAGTCGTCACAACTGGTGTCGTTTTAAATCCAGACCCGGTACCATTGAAATCTATATTGAAAAAAGAGAAAACAGATTATACTCTTCCGTCTGGTCCAACTTCTACCAAATCCCCTCTTGGAAAAATTGATTTTCCAACTGATGTTTCAGCAAAAAAACCTCTGAAAAGGAAGCGGTCACCAAGCCCAACAGGAAAAGCTATAAATTCGAACCTCAAAACTAGTGTGTCCTCCTCAAAGAGCCAGAGCAAAGTTGCAGGTAAACCTGTCGCTAAGAAGTCAAGTAAATCAACAAGTGTAGAGAGTCTCACAAAATCCGAGAAACCAGCTGTTGGAAGTAATAAGAAAGTTGGTGTCAAAGCAAGCAAAGACAAAACGACTTCTGTGTCAAAAGAACAGAGCAAACCAAGCAATTTTGGAAAAGACTCAAGTAAAACCAATGCAGTTAGCAAGGACTCAATTAAACAGTCAGGTTCTGGTAAAGAATCCAAATCATTATTAAAAGATTCAAACAAAACATCTAATGTTAAAGACTCCAGCAAGAGTATGCCTGTTGGCAAAGAAACACCAAAATCAACAATTTTAAACAAAGACTGCACAAAATTACCTCCAAGCAAAGACTGTGTAAAACAAGTTTCAAATATTATGAAAGATCCAGGAAAACCTAGTACTGTCAGTAAAGACTCTAATAAGTCAGCCAGCACAAGTAAAGCACAAAAGGAAAAGAAAACTGCAAATGAAACAGAAACAAAAATTTCCAAATCTAAAGATGGAAGTAAAGAAAATGTCACAAAGCTAGAAAAAAAGGAAAATGGTAGCACAACAAATCAGGACAAAAAGAAAGATGAGGTGAAGAAATCTGATGTGAAAGAGAAAGATGTTAAAACAAAGACTGTACCATTTAAAGGAAAGAAGAAAGAAGTCAAAGAGAAAGTCAAGAAAGAGAAAGTAGAGGATATAGAAGAAACTAAACCTGTTAAGAAAAAGGTTGAAGAAGAAGTCAAACTCACAAAGGCATTGAAGCATTTAAGTGGAAAATCCAAGCGACCAGACAAGAAAATAAAAGATGAAGTTAAAAAAGAAGAAGGGAAAGTAAAACATCTGGAGTCAAAGACAAAAGAAGATTCAAAAACCAAAGAGGAATGCAAGGTCAAAGAAGATCGACCAATCAAAGAGGAATTGAAGAATAAGAAAGTTAAAAACTCGGTCAATAAAGGTGTGAAGTTAAAGGAGAAGAAACCGCCGACAGAAATTAAGAAAAAAATTCTTCAGGTGTCTGACATTTATTCTGATTCAGAAGATAGTGAGTCTGATTCAGGAATTAGAGACATTATGATTCCTAAACTAAAGAGAGAAGGAAGAAAAGTCATATATGATTCTTCAGAATCAGAGGAGGAAGTCGCACCAGTTGAGGAAGCTCCAACCAAAAAGAACAAGGCAATTAAATCTCAAGCTAAAAAGTCTGTTAAAGATAAAGAACCACAACTTGATGTCAAGTTAAAGAATGTAAAATCTAAAGAAAGCCAAGAAAAGGATATTGGTAAAAAGGATCCACAAAAGAAAAAGAAAGTGGATTCAGAAATTATATCAGAAAAGCCCACAAAGACTATGTTGAAAAACAAGGAGGATGCTAAAGAAAGTAAGAAGAAAGATGAAAAGAGAAAAACAAAGCAAGACAAAGAATTTGTTGCCAGTCAGCAGTTGGAAGACTTGGCAGCAATGAAAGAGAACATTGAAAAAGAAGAATCAGTTAAAGGAAATACTGATGAACTGGTATCAGACATTGACGGAGGTGATGTTTCGGATAATGAAACCAATCTAAAAAGTTCCAGAAAATTTGACAAAGATAAGTTTAAGAAAAAAGTAAGGAAACCAAAAAAGGAAAAACAAATTTCTGAACAACCACCAGTTGACAGCAAGAATTCTAAGAAATCTAAGAAAATTAAAAAGAAATCCACACCAACTGAAGGGAGGAACATAGAGGAACACACTGAACCACCATCCATTGTTGAAGAGTTATTGTCAGAAAAGAGGGCCTTGTACAGTGATGGTGAAGCACATGAATTTGAAGGAGGTGATCACACCATATTGCAAATTGATGAAAATATTGAGTCAAATCTTAAGATTGATGAAGAATTAATCGATAAAATTGAATGCCCAAAGACACCAAATGTGTCTCTCTCAGAGCCTGAGCCATTAAAAGATGAAGAAGAAGAACTTGTTAAAGAGAAGAAAAAGTTGAAAAAGAAAGAGAAGAAAAAGATGAGAATAGAAGATAATGATTGTAAAGAGTTTGAGATGGATGAATCCTTAGATGATTTGAAACCTCTTTCTATGGATGACCACTTAATCATTGCTGAAAATCTTCCTCATGGGGAGCATGTGATTCAAGAGGAAGAGCATCATGATCCACTAGATGAAGAAAAGATTGAATTAAAGGAAGAAGAGCAATTATTCCAGTCTGATGAAAGACCTTTTGATGATAAGGACCGACTGTTCATTGAAAATGATGAGTCACTTGATTTGATAGATCGACCACATAATGTGTATGAAGAAAGTGACCTGAAAGAGAAAGGAGGTCTCAAAATATCAGAAGAAGAATTATCAGCAGTGGCTGAGAAAACTACAGATCCAAAGAACTTATATTCTATTGAATCAGCAGAAGAACAAGATACAAAAACACCATTACTAAACATGCAACAGACTGAACCTTTGCTTAAAACAGCACATGAAATGGATTGTGAACCTGCACGAGAGGATGGAATAAGAGGTAAAACCAAACCTAAAAAAAGAGGTAAATCAACACGGAAACCTAAGAAGTCCCAAGCAGAGAAAAAGGCTGCTGAGCCAATTCTTACTTCTGAGCAACCTTGTGAAACAGAACTTAAAGATCTTTCTGATATCCAACAACAAACCAGTTTGTCTGAAGAAGAAAAAGATGTTATGCTGAATGAAGAAGCAAATAACATTGTGACAGAAGCTGCCAGCATGATATCTAATGAAGTGAACTCTGTAGAGTTAGCCACAAGGCTGATAGAAAACATCCCAGACACACTTCCAACAAACCCAGAATCATCCAGTGCTGACACCTCTGGTATGGTTGACTCAAAGCTTAAGGAAAATGAAACTCTTGCTGCTAAGGCAGAAGCAAAAGAAGAAGTTTTAGATGCTGTTAAGTGGATTGAATGTGGCATGGACAACCAGGAACAGCCATCATTCCCAACACCTGTTGAAGCTCAAGAATCAACAGAAATTGTTCCAATTGAACAGTCAACTGAAAATAAACAACTAGAAACAGATGATTCTCATGTAATTGAAGAAGTACCGGTCCCTGTCAAGGTTGAAATAGCTGAGGAGAAACTGAAGAAGAGAACTCGTAAAAGTGGAAGAGGCAGTAAAACAAAGCAGACAATAATTGAGCCTCAAGAAAAAACAATTACAATAATTGAAAACCCATCAATTTCAATTGGCACTTGTCTAAAACCTGATGAAAATACTAATGAGGTTCCTCTGTCTTGTGAAGGAATCTCTGATAACAAACAATTGCTTGCTGAAACAGCTGTGCAAGTGACTGAGGATAACAGCCTAACTGTTGATACAGAGGCTAAACCAAATTTCAAGAGTTCTGTCAGGAAGCATATTGATCCATATGACTTCAATGAAGAGGATCACAGTTATCAACGCAAAGGTAAACAAGGAAAATTTAACAGTTCAAAGAAACAAACAGAAACAAAGGATTCAGAGCAGAAGTTGGTTGAACAAAAAGCAGTCGATAATGTGTCTACTGATAGTAAAGTTGCCGATGATCCATATGAATTTAAGGGAAGTCCAGCTGAAGAGAAAAGCTCTCCCAGTAAAGCGAAAAAGCCCAAGACTCCAACAAGGCGTCCAACTGGACGTACCAGCAGAACTCGTAGTGCTTCCTCTAAAGGAAAGGATCTCAAGGCAAAGGATGATCTGCTTGGAGAACCATTGTCAGAACCCTTACCGGTATCACCAAAGCCTGATACAGTTGCAAAACTATTGCAGAGAGAAGAAAATCGAAATGCAAATTCTGCAGTTCCCTTTGAAGCTGGAAAGAACATAGCTTCATTGTCAACTGGAACACGAGTCCCAATGGTTTCTAATGTTGCTGTACCATATATTATTAACTCATCCCTTGCAGCTCCAATAGCACAGGCAATTCCTACAACACAAATTATGCCAGGATCATCTGTCATTGCTTCTCAACTTCCAACCATGCAGTTAACAACATCACCTCATTCCTCTATCCCATCAAAGGTTAATACTCCAGAAAACCTGACTGGTCACCTTAATTCAGCACCAATGGTAACACATGTTCCCACATCATCTACAATGGTATGTCCAGTACTACCTGGGAATATGAATGTCCACAACAGTAAATCTGGATCAGTAACTAGCACTGTATCAAATATCATTCCTCATGTTCCAATACAGCAGGAACCACCCACTAAAAGAACTTCAAGAAGATCACGTAAGAAAGATGAAAATGCTCAAAAACAATCACAGCAGCCACAAGAGCAGATACCAACAAAACAAGAACCCATGCAACATCAACCACAGATTGCCTTGACAAGACCACCTCTACAACTTGGAGTACCACTGCAGGTTCATGTGCCACAGCAGCATCAGACTATGAAGCCGGCTCACCTGAGTCCAGCACAATCTGGAACTGAGGTAGCAGAGAAAGTAGGCTTCGGGCACACTCCAACATCAGATATGAAATTCAGTTCTGAACAGCAAAGGATTTATCAATCTGGACATGTAACTCAAACCAGCATATCAACCCTGGCTCATCAGGCAAATTTGAACCCCACTCAGATCCAAACTAACATCTTTACAGTCCCATCATCAGTTTCAGCAACAACTTATGCTGCAGCAAGTGTTCTTCGGGAGAGGCTTCTGTCAACAAGTGTTCCCCAGGGAAGAGACAATACTAAAGTTGTAACATCACAAATGCAGTATGTTCCTGGATATGCAATGCCAACCTCATCTGATGCAAGACCAAAAAATGAATCCCTTCATAGAGTAATACAACCAAATGCTGATTATGTGTCTCAGGAAAGGAAAGACCAACATCAAGTAGTGCCACCAGGAAGAGGACCACATCCTAATGTTCATGTAGTTGGAGGGCCAATGTTCTTTATTCCACCACCGACAGAAGTGGCTTCAGGAGTACCAATGAGGCCATTGACACCTGGGTTTCCACAGCCAATGGTGCCACCTGGAATATTCCCTTACTCCAGGAATATACTATTTCAAGGTGTTGATCATTTACAACTTGCATCTCCTGGTGGAAGCATGCCATCACCTCGTATGCCTGCTGCACCAGTCTCGTCTCCAGGGTTGTCACCAAAGATTACTTCTCCCAACTCTCAAATTCCCCACAAAAGGGGTACACCACCTGTGTCAGTTACAGAAAAGAAAGAAGATGATCCAAACAATGATCCAAATAAAGCTAGTCACCTCCATATGGGTGGTCTACCACTCTCAAGAATGGGATTCCCACCAATGATCCACCGCCATATGCCTCCCGTGATAACTGAGCCGCATATTAGCACTCCTATAGCCGAACAGGTGATAAGTGGAGATTTGTACAAAGTGCCAGCAGGATATCAAGGCCACACTAAAGATAGTCTTTCCAATGATCCTCATTCACAAGGAAGAAGGATTCAACCAGGTATGGAAGCACCTGGACAACTTCCCAACAGGATACCACCACCCCCACCTGCTTCATCTCCAATGCAGAGAAAGCAAGATCATCTTGGAAGTATAATGATGGTGAGTTGAAAACGAAAACCACTGTGTTAAAATCCATGTATCAAGTACTTAAAGCTTGAAAAATGCCCTTTTAAACATCATTTCTTTGGGGTGGGGGAGGGAAGGGAACAGTTTTACCAATAGAAAGGAACCAATTCTAGATTTTCATGATAATGTGTCCATTGGGCTGGGGCAGCATAATTTGTTATGCCTTTTATGAATACCTCTGTCACAACACAAGAAAGTATAAGATGTAAAGTATGAGATGTATCTTTCCATGACGTATGGTTCCTTGATACAGTGAATTTAAAACAAGAATAATGAACTTGATATTAAATTTATATAAATTATGTAATTTTAAAGTAAGTTAAGTTTAAGTACTTGTTTTCTTTTTTAACCAAGTATCATGAGTAAATGAAAAATAAAAATTCTTTTAACCACTTTCCTGTCTTTGGTATGTGGCAAAACGAAGCATTCACATATACATTAAATGATTTCATGTGTTTTTCCACAGCGATATCCTGTAATGTGGCAAGGTGGCCTAGCCTTGAAGAATGAGACGGCATTTATCCAAATGCACTATGTCTCTGGCAGCATGGAGGTAGCAGGTCAAGCACTTAGTCAGACTATGTCGATGGAGGAGGATTCACCGCCATTGAGGGTTGCCCAGAGGATGAGACTGGAGCAGTCCCAGCTTGAAGGAGTTGGCAGTAGAATGAAGGTAAGTTTGTATAGAGGTATTGCTTAGCTAGTGTACTAAAAATAAATCTATCACTGTCCATACTATGAAGCTATATACAAAGAATATCTGTGATTGGCTGTACATGGGTATGATGATGTCATATCACATTTATATATGGGCAAATCATACCCATATATATGCATGTCATACCTCCATATATGGGCATATAGCTTCATATATGGGCATAGCATACCTTTCTATATGGCAAATCAAACCTCCATATATATATGCATATCATACACCATATATATGGGCAAGTCATACTTTCATATATGGGTAAGTCATATCCCCATCTACAGGCAAATTGAGAGCAGCTTAGCTCAGTCCGCTAATCTGGTGGTAGCCACTGTGTGTGCGCTGAACCGTGGAGATCTCTAGGTCCTCGGTTTAATTCCCATCGCTGCCTCTCCTTGTGTTTCAGCTGGAGGGCTGAAATACAAGTTAAAATAGCGCGCCGTCTTTTGGATGAGACGTTTAAGCCGTTTGTCCCGTGTGCATTTATGGCCCATGTGCACGTTAAAGAACGCAGTACACTCTTCGGAAAAGAGTAGGGGATTGTCTCCCGGTGTACTGCCCAATCACCACCAGAAGGACCCCACTGGAAATAAGTCTTCTTCTAGACTTTCGTGGGCTATCCTTGGTGTTTACACCGAATAATCCAATCCAATCCAATCCTATACCTCTATATATGGCAAACCATACCTATATTTGGGCAAATCGTAGGTATTTGTCCTAGAACTTGGTATAGTGAAAAGAGCTTTTGCTTTTTTCCTATAAAAGTACAGTATAAATGCACTTACATTATCTCTTCTATTCACTTCAAAAAGCTAGTGGCTTAGTTTAGTAGAGTGTTTATAAATAACAAATATCAATATTATTATGAAGGACTTGATGACTATATTTTGTTCTTTCACAGGTAAAATCTGAGTCCTGTATCTTGATTGCCTTGGCTTGTGGAAGGGACCACCATGATGTCATTTCCCAAACAGAGGCCCTCAACACAGGTTTCATAACATATCTCCAACAAAAACAAGCTGCTGGGATCATCAATGTACCCCACCCTGGATCTAATCAGGTTAGTCAGAATATTTAGTTATTTTACTAATTGCTATATTTGTTATTATTATCATGGTACTGTGCAACAGTGGTTCACAAACTATGGGACATGACCTAACATTAGTTTGCCAAATAGATTAGAGGGTTGCAAGACTTTGAAATTTTGAGTATCTTAAACATTTTACTTCAATTTTCTTTATGTATACTGTGTACCAGTAGTTAATGACCAATTTTGAAAATTTGTTTCTGCTTGAAACTGGGACGTGACAAATTGTCTGAAAGTTTGTTGAGGTACAAAAGTTCTGTTGCTGTACAACAGTGTTTTTTTTAATAATTTAAATACATCTCACAGTACATCATGTGTTAATGTGGTTATTTTAAAAGTCCTATTTAAGTGTTATGTGACAATATTCATAGCAATCTCTGACCTTTTATGTTATTTCTTGTTTTTCTCAGCCTGCATTTGTTGTGCATATATTTCCACCATGCGATTTCACGCAAGTTAATTTAGCGCATGTTGCGCCCGATTTCTTCAGAGACATCGCGGATCTTGCCCATCTTATGATTGTCATCACAACAACATCGTGAGCAAGTGATTTTGAAAATTGACAAATTTTCAGTTTAAAGGATTTGTAAACATTTAAACGGATATTTCAATTGGATGTTAAACTTTACAGGAATGATCTATTGACTAGTCTTTTTAATCCAAAGATGTATATAGTTAAAAATCTACAAGAGATGTTAATAGCTTAAGAAATTGAATCACAGAGTTTACATTCAAAAACTAAGCTTTTATTGTACATTGGAAAGCAACTTTTGAGTGATATTTAAAGAATGAATCCATCTGAATTCAGCCACCTGGTTTATGAACTATTATGAACTATTACGAACTATTACAAATATCTGGAAACAGTGACATGGTTACAGCACCTGGTTACAAATAACTGGGTATAGCTGCGTGGTTACAACCACCTGGCAGCAATCATCTGGATACGACCATATAATTACAAACATCTGGAAACACTGACATGGTTACAGCACCTGAGTACAAACACCTGGTTACAAATAACTGGGTATGGCCACATGGTTACGACCACCCGGATATTCATGGAAGCTTTTGCCTTGTATGTGGAAATAATTTTCAGAATGAAATCACCTTTTAGGAAAAGTGAAAAAAAAATTATTTGCTGACTGGTCATCGGTCATTGAAACTGATCTTAAAAGTTGAAATGTGCAAATGACATTTATGTAGCAGATTATGAACTCTGCGAGTCATCTCGAGTTGAAATAGACTTACGGTAAACGTTAAAACTATATTTCGTTGTATCGGACAAACACTATAAGCAACATGTAATATGGACCCTTGTATAATTGGAAAAGTTGTTAATGCATTCCAAAAAATTGAGTAACGGATGGTTTAAGCTGGATAGGGCAGCGTTTATAAATGAAATCCGCACCTCTGCGAGTAATTTACTTGATGAAATTGTGTCATGAATCAGGAATATTGTGTTGCTTATACTCAGCATGTTTCAATTTTGGACATTGAATTCTGACTCTCTCTCCGATGGAGTGCATTTTAACCATCTGCGATTTTTGTCTTGTGGTTATTTGGCAGTATTGAACATACGTTACAGCAAAATTATTTTTCTATAAGATAAAGATTTTGAATTCTGTAGAATTATAAGATCTAGATCTATCTCTTAGGAACAAAGACATTTGTTTTTAGGAAAATCTCAGATATATAAAGCCTTGATTGTTAAGTGATTATATAAGTTGACCACTGATGCCACCTCGGCAAACTGTTTCGTTGACATTGTTTAGTGAAATTTTTTGGAATGGATAAGACAGAAGCATTTGAAAACAGTTGTTGTATCCGTCCAATATCCTAAGGTCCTCTGTGGATAAGTTCTAAATTAATTTCAAGAACATCTAATTTGATATATCTTTAGTTGTCTCCTTTGTTAATTCACCAATCTGATTTCTAATTGATTTAAATCAAGTCAGTTATAAAGTGTCTTTTAATTTACATAATATAGTATTTAACCTTCAAACTTAAGTTCAAAGGTTATTTTCTAAATATCCATGCCTCATATTTAACATGGCAAACACCGGGTGGATCTTTATATTATTATGATTTGTATTATTATAATTTTATTTTCATTATTAATATTATTATTATTATTATTGTTATTATTAATGTTATTTTATTATTATTATTATTATTGTTATTATTAATTAGAATTATTAATTATTATTGATTATTGTTATAATGTTATTGTGAATATGTTTTCATTGTTATGTGGTGTGTGAGTGTGTAAGATGAGATTGTAGGCAATATTAAAAAATAACTGTAAATATTGTAAACTATATCCCTGAGATCATGTGACCTGTTATGTCATTACATGTCTGACCATCCCAAAGTGCATTGAACCTGTTGCTAGGAGCTAGCCTGTGATTGTTCACATTCATTATGACATAGTGTTCCCTATGTCAATAATGCATTGAGAATATGTTTTATGAACTTTCTGTCCTGTCTTGTCCGTCTTTGTACCATTTTTGTGACTCGTAGGTTTTATGTTAATGATGATCAGTTTATAACTGAATTTTGAAATGTTAAAATTACCAGTTTTAAAGAAAAATGGATTCCTCTCTTCTATAGAGTTTTAGAAATTGTTGGAAATTCACTGCAATGTTTTTTTTCTATTTTTCTCACAAATCAGAAATCTCTATGTAACAAATAATTTAAAATTGCAAATTTGTTATTCTTTTTCTTAATAAATGCACTTCGTCTGATTCAGTGTTTTCGTCAAAGTTAAATGAGTTTAAATGGGATAACAGACTCTGCAGTGTTCAATTTTTGACTTAATTTCTATAGATTTTGTTTTTATCAATTACTTTTAACATAATGTTTTTGTTTTTTTTCAGAAACTTTTCTTTAATTATTAAAATTAACTTCATAAATGAATAAAATTGAATCATTAGTGATTGATATCGTAAATAATGTTATTCCCACGTTTCTCATGACATTCTGCTTTTTCGTATTTTCTCTGTCATTTGAAAACGTGTGCGTAAGAAAATGTGTTTGTGATGTTCGATGCTATTTTGGGATGGTGCGTAATCCGCCTATAGAAGGCACAATGATCTTTGATCTGGTTTTGTACGTACCATTTTTCGTGTAAATAAACTGAAGTGAGATCTATTTTCCAATGTCATGGAATAAAATGGATGAAATGTAGAAAAAAAATATTAAACTTTGTCTCCAACGTTTCCAATTTATTTTTGTTTCTACGGTAGGCCTACATTTAATTGAATATTATATAAAGATAGTGCGAGAGACGTAAAGGATTTGTTTTCATCCTGATTAGAATTGACCTTTTCCGCTAAGCCTCGCGTCTTGGATATTATTGCTAAGGTCCCAAAATACGACTGTGTAACTTCATACACACAGGTATGGTCCCACAAGAACATTAATGTTAAAACATACGCGAACATGTGCGTTTGTGGGGCGCATGGCAATGGAATATCAGTTACATGAACAGAAAAATAGAAATTATTAGGGTTTGATAGCATTCAATAATAAGCAATTAGTAGAGCTCCGCATAGTACAGGCCCTCAGGAAATTTTTGAATGCATTAAATCTAACCTAAGTATAATAATTTTCCATTTAGTGTACAATGCATGCTTTACTAATTGCTTTATAAGCCAATCGCTGTCTTTTAATTTTAGTTTTTTATAACCAACTGTTGTAGCAGTCATCGGTTGCTAGAGTGATATGATCAGTATACGTGTGCGTATTTACATTTAGCTGTGCGTATGCTGATTTTTTGCTCCTGCAGTACGCGTTTAATAGACCTTTCCGGAGTGTCAATCAAACTTAACAACTGACTAATCAGAACAACGCTAGGAATACGCGCGCGTCTCACAAACACACGTGTTGTCCTACAAACGCAGTGTTTGCGTATGTTTTAACATTGTCGTCTTGTAGGACCTTAGCAACATTATCCAATAGGCGGGGCTTAGCGGATAGTCCATTAACTGCACATCAGCAGTACAGTACGGATACAATGAATAACTATTTGTAATTTGTATTGTGTTAGAAAGAACTTGTTTGTAATGCTACTTTGATAGACTTTCGACAAAGAAATAAACATTTCAGCATTCGAGAGAAAATACAGTCACCGATGTCCTTTTAGGTCGGTGCATCCAGACAGGTGATTTTATAACTAGGCTAGGCTACGGCCTAGTAGTAGTAGGAGGAGGTCCGGGCGGCCTTTTGCCAGGCTGTATGCCTACATCTTTGTTCCTTCAGTCTTTAAAAATAGAATATTCCTATTAAACGTTCAGTTTGTTGTGTTTATGAGGGTCCATTGATTGAATGAATTCCTTAATTGTTCATACTTAATTTTGAATTTGAAGTAACTTTCTTCGGGTTGTAATTAAGCTTGTTTTACGGAAAGTCATTTTCAATTACAATTCAATTTTTATCGCGGTGCGCGATGTATTCGC